ATGCTTATGCAATATCAAACCAAAACCGGGCCCCTGTAGGTGCAGGGCCTTGACGCGCGCCTCAGACGCCTACTGGTTAATCCAGCCCTGTATGAAAGTGTAGAACTAAAATAATTAAATATAACAGAGTTAATATTTGAACAGAACAATAATAAAATACAGAGGATCCAGAAAGTAAAGCGATAAAGTAATAATACAAAAAGCCATAGAAGATATAGCTTGTAAAAAATATGTTTTTAAAAATATTCTATTCTGACATAAGTTATTTTATAAAAACAATTTTAATTAATGTATTTGTAATTTGTAAAATTTATTTTTACCTTTTATAATAATAGGTGGTACTGTCCTGATGATGAATGCGGTTAGAATTTGAAACCGGTTGAGCCAAAATAAAATTCATCTAAATACACATAGTTTTATTATCTTATAACTAAATACAAAGATGGAAAGAAGTAATCACAAAAATAATAATAAAAAAAAGTTGTAACGGCTCCATTCCACAATCCATTTGTTTGCAGGAATTACGTCATCGTATTTGAACGTGTTCATCGCCTTCTTCGACTTCTTTAAAGGTCATTACGAATTTAGGTAATTTTCTATTTTGTACGGAATCGTCCGTCATTGTGCTTGTGGTTTGCCGTCGTCATCAATGTTAACATTACCACGGCGTGAAGATACCCCGTCATCATTAACATCGCGATCGCCCTCGTTATCAGTATCATCTAAATTTTGATTGCACGTAACTCGCTCCAAAAGTTTTAGATCGGACAAAATTGTAACTACTATCTCAACTAGCTCACTTCACTAGTCGCGTTTTCAATTGATCACACATCTCAAATCGAAATCAATTTTCCCAGCTTTAAATTATTTCCGATAAATTCTACTTTTGTAAATTTTTCTTATGCTAGATGGCGGTTTTCTAGATTTATTAATGGGGTCATACACACTAATTAAATCTAGAGAAAATTTTTACGTAAAACGATATATGCAAGTATATGAATGAACACAAAATAAAAGAAATATTTTGATAAATTTTATATTTTGCGTAATTTGATGTGGAAAATAGCAAGTATTCAAACGAAATAATTTCGCTGCTTTTCTGTGACGTAGGAAGTGCACAGTCTGAAACAACTTAAATTGTTTAAGGATTTTTAGCTAAAATACAGGGTGCTTAGAAATTGGCGAATAACGTACACGTAGTGACATTCTTCGATCTCAATCGAAAAGCTTAATGTTAAAATGTTATTCTACTATGTTGCCAAATGTGTTTTTCATGATAATGAAAAAATGTTAAAAACTAACTTTAAAGCTAAAGAAAATAACTTTAACAAAAAAACTAGTTTTCAAAACTCTTTTTATTCTAAATTACAACTTATTTATCAACAGATATTGAATATTAATGATTATTTATGGACAAATTATCCGAACTTTGAGAGCCTCATGAAGACGTATGATAATGGTACAACAGTTTAAAATTAAGATTTTCGCTTTAGAATCGAACGAACGCTACGTGTACATTATTCGCCAATTTCTAAACAGTTCGTGTGTTGAATATTGGGGCGACATAATGGGATCAAAGTTAATAATCTTTTCATTTTTCGTTTGAAAATTTATTTCAACGATCACGGTTTTACCGGATTTGCAGCACATTTTTACAAAGATTAAATCACTGCTTAAAATCTCAGACCATCTTGAGGTAGGTTTAAACATTTTCTATTTTATTCTTTTATTCTAACTTATCCTAAACCTAAATTCTTTCAAACTCAATTCATCCATGATAAATAAAATCACCCATTCTTTCATTCATCCTTAACTACTATTATTTACATATTTACAGTATTTTTTGGAACGTAGGGTAAAGTGGGGTAAATGTAATCAGGGGGTAAGTGTAATCTGATCCTCTATATTTTTTTTGTAACATTTTGAAGCTTTAATAAATGTGAACATAGGTATAAAAAGGGTTATATTTTCGAATTTTGAACAATAAAAGCATCTCTTTTGGTTTCAGCTGTTCTCTTAGGTTATTTTCAACAAGGAATCTGATTGTGCTGCCAGATTCCGATTTGGATATCAACAAAACATTTTATACCAGCGATTATATTTACCCCACCGAAATGCAGATATGGGGTAAATGGAATCGCGAGACTGGGGTAAATGTAATCGCGGGATAACTTTTCCCCAGCCTCGTCTGCCTTGACTTTATAGTTCATAACCTGTTGTTATAGCCTAAGAAGTACAGTGTGTGAAAAAATCGAGGTAAAAATAGTGTAAATACTTAGGTACCAAAGACTAAACTATAAAAACAGTGTTTTGAAATCTTTAAAATAACCACCTACCTACCGAAATACTTACCATAGACTAAAATGTATACAGTTCTTCCTAGTGAGTTCGTAATTCAAAATGGTGAAAGTGTATAAGAAAAAAAAGCTAAACTTTTAAAAGATGCGCTTAGAAATCAGATCAAAATATCCTATTGGATGTTTCCTATTGGATCCTTTATTAAGCAGTGGTGCAGCCCAGAAATATAAAATCCCATTTTCTACTCTTTAAAAAAACCTCCGAGGTACCAGAGGATCAAAAAGTACGTCCAAAGGAAGATCTACCGCAGATACCTGCAGCTGACGAAGAAAAATTAGTGAATGCCATAAAAACAATGGAGAAATGGGGCTGGGGGCTGAGCCGAAACGACATCATAGAATTAGTGGGAACGCATATTACGAAAAATAATTTCAAAAAGGCCATTTATTTAAAGCTGGACTTCCAGGCGAGGATTGTTTTTTAGCCTTTAAAAAAAGGCACAAGTTGTCTGTAAAAAGCCACAAGGACTGGACTATGCCAGAAAGAAGCCCGATGATCCATTTGTGATTGAACAATATTTTGACATCTTAAAAGAAACCCTGGAAAGCAACGGTCTGCAAGATAAGCTTTCGATTTACAACTTCGACGGAACTTTTTTTGGTTTATTCAATCATCATTTCTTTTGTTAGTTGGTAGTTTATCTATAAGTTTTATATTTATCTCTACCCCTAACTTCCAGCCCTTATAACCATTTTCAAACATTATATTATGTTATAACCACTACTCTATTGGTTTTGTTTTGCGCTTTTAGGATTAACGATCAAAGCATAAAAAATCGTTGTTTTGTGCGGATCTGACCTGTGAATGTAAGTTTAGTGAAGGTTTTAGTGAAGGTAAGTGATTTAAATAAGATATTTGAAATATACATAGATGCAGAGGCATACACTACGGTAAATATATATAAATTAAAAATGTTTAATTTTTATAAGTGTGTTTCTGTAAGTCGTGGTATAAGTTTTATCGCATATACTGGAGCAAAAACGATTCGTGTAAAACAAATTGGCGAAAGACTACAAATAGCAAAGATATAGATCAACAAAATTAGGAAACTTTTACACATTTTTGCAAATAGCATTGTTTCCTCCGATCCGATTCAACTCACAAATTATCTAATGATTTGATTTGTGTATTAAAATTTCTAAAATTTGATGCCATTGTATGCTGACGTATTATTTTTTTTACACAAATTCTCATTATTTTTACTGTAGTAAGTATATATAATATGTGGTAACGTTTATGCACGACTAACATAATATATAGCCTGCATTTATCCCCTAATAAAAAAAACTGGTGGGTCAAATGTTCAGAATTTTTGACATTATGTATACTGCAAAGACTGTTTTTAATTTTTAGCGGCATGATTTCAGCCATTTTCAGAAATTTTCCAGCAACTCTTGGAGACAGTTCTCTAGAGAGAGAATTCTTCAAAATAATTTCGTATCTTACCGTTTGTTAACAATATGTTACTGTTTGTCTACACTTATACAATGTACACCATTAGCCTTTGTGTGAATAAAATTATTCTTTGTAAACAATATATTTTTTAATTTTTTACTTCATTATCCTTTAAATGTTCACTTCGTTTGACTTTTGAGGGTATCCTCTGGCTTAAAAAGTTGACGTGTTAGACAAAGCGTACGGTTATTTTGAAATTCTGATATCTAAACTTGCACGCTGCTTGTAGTTGTCATCGAGGTATTTGATCTTCTTTCTTTCTGTTTTTCATATATTTTTCGATGTTTATAGCGCTTGTTCTCGTTCATTTGGTTTAATTCATTTAATTTTTCCATATCTGGTATGTATTGATCTTCTTCAAGAGCCATAATTACATGGTTGTGTAAAATTCCAAATAGTAGAAGAGGTGTTTTCTGGATACCTTTGTTCTTCATGCTGTTCCTCTGTATGTAATAAATCCTGTCGGACTACCAAAGATTCCAGTAATTTCTTTCATAATTTCTATAGTATCGTATTCTTCATCAACAATCGTTTTGATAATCAGAAACACTGTTAAATATAAATATTTTTAATTTTTTAATATTTTATTTATTACCTGTTGTCTCTTGTTTTCTTCTTGCACACCCATTTTATTCTTTATATTAACTAACAACGTCCTTCTAATATCAATTCCTTATCGAAGAAAAATAGGTCTAATGTTTAGATTTAATCAAACATTAACGTTTAGTTTAACTCACCTTTTCAAAAACTTATGAATCCAATTAATCGATTTCTAAAACACCATCTAAACACCATCTAAACGGGTTCTTAGTTTAAGAAAACATTTATTAAATTAGATGTTATCCACATTTAAGACAATTTATTTTATTTCATCATGTTCCAAATCCTAACTCACACACGGACAAGATGCGTGACTAAACAACAAACAAAAATTGCCTCTCGGAGATGGTCGAATGCTTCCATTAATTATTTCGTAACCCAAATACTCTACTTCTGACTTCAAGGATTGACATTTGTTCCAATTAATCTCTAATCCGTGATCTTCAGCAACCTTTAATACATTTTCCAATCTTTCCAGAGCCTCCCTCTCGTTTTCAGCTATAATTATGATATCATCCATGTATGTTAGAATCATTTCATCCCTACTTTCGAAATCTTTGAAGGTATTGTTAATAAATCTTTGGAATATGGCCGGTGAATTGCAAAGCCCAAATGGTTTTCGAAGTAATTGATATTGACCAGCAGGGCACAAAGGGTGTAAATTTTCTAATTCTTCTTCAACGAATATCTTTGATTTATGCAATCTGTCTAGTTGCTCTTTAGTAACAGGTGATGGGTACCTGTATCTTTCACATTTTATTAATTTTTCGGTAATCTACACATAGGTCTCCATTTTTTTTTGAATAAAACTATCGGACTTGAATAGTCAGAACAGCTGTGTTCGACGACTCCTTCACCTAGCCATCCAATTTGTTTATTTATTTCATCCATTTCTGCCTGCGATAAACGTCGTAGTCTATCGGAAATCGGAATGTCTTCTTTTAAAACAATTTTTGTTTGTATTAGAATTGTTATACGTTTTTCCGGTCGATAATTGTTGATCAATTTTTTAACCTCTTCTCTTAACTTCGTGTCTTTTATCTCAGGTAAATTGTCAATCGTGTCGTCATCAACAGCAATTTACATAAATTCTAATTTTTCCTGTATTTTCGTGAAATGGATTTCAGACTGGTTAATCAATACTTCTACCTGTGAGAGTAAATCATCGCCCAAAAGTAACCTGCACTCATAACGTTTTCAGGTACAATGTGTATTGTAGACTGATTCACATCGCCATCTATAATAATGTTACACACAGTCCCAAAATCTAATGTTGCCAGTAAATGCTATAAATTTTTCTTCATGTCGTGGTATCTTGAAGCCTAAGCAGTTGTTGATGAAAATGAGGTTGATTGCGCTTCCACTTCTTTATAATTCTGTCCTACTTCATACGCCATTTCATCATTACAGCCCTTTCTTCAAAATTTACTATCCAATCAGTTTCCTGCATTTCATCTTCGCCAGACAATGTATAAATAATCTTCTACATCACGGAACGATAAGGCAAAAGTCGGTTTTGTTGAATGGTCAGCATTGAAATGTTTTTATCGACGGTTTTTCATCATCGATATAATCTTCCGTCTTCTTCATCGCTTTCACTGCTTGATTCTTCACTTTCTACGTATAATTTCTTCGACTCCATTCTGGTCTACATCAACTTCATCGGTTTCATTGTTTCTTGGTTGTCGTCGCCGTCTTGAATGCAATCTACCTTTATCCTGTCTTCAGCACCGTACTGGTATTCTTCTTCGTTTCTTACACGTTGTGGCATTTTCCATCTTCATTTTCACCGTCTTATTTTTCTTTATCTTTCTTACGTCATCATCGACCGAGAAAATTATAGTATTATCAAATTCCACAAAATCCTTGCCATCGTCTTTATTCATCACATTTTCGTTTTCTTGTTTTTTTAGTTGTAAAAAAAGTTCTTGTAGAAACAGTCGTTATCAATTGGTAACGAACGCTGTCTGTGTGGCAGCACGTTCCGGCACGATGGAAAATTACGATGGCGCGACGCTCGCCATCGTAGCGAAAGGTGGCTATACATTTGTTGCGTACCAGCGTATTGTATCACTACTGCGTATCATAAAATGCAACGATGCAACGCAGTGTCAATGTATTGTCCCATATCGCCACTGCGTATCCTAATTAAATGTGCAACGGGTATGCGATACGAACCAAAAGTGTGACGTTTGTGGATGCATCAAATTCCGATCAAATTTATTAACCGACTTGAATTTTCAATCTGTAAGCGTATTGTACAAAAATTTTACTAGGATGCGCCATCGACATAGACTTTATGTCTATGGAATGCGTGGGATTCTCGATTCTTATTCCAGTCTTTAATACTTATTTAAAATATCAAAGCAAACAATCAAATTTTCATTTTCTCCCTGTCCATCAACGGTCCTATCCATTTATGTTGCAATTTCCTCTGACGCATCTTGTTTTCGAAATGTATTGAAATGGTTCGGATGTTTCAGATCCCAAACGATTTCATACCTCTGCTAAGTATCGATAAAACTTATAGTTTCTTCTTTACTCCATTTGCACAACACAATGTCGAGTGGCGAGAGAAAAACGAGCTCGTACCAATACTACGTACGTACTGAACAAGATTGAACGTGCAACGCAACCCGTCCAAATACGATTCAACTCCGTATTGTATCATTTCTTTGACGTGACGGTGAAAAACCGACAAATAGGCGATCGAACTCGTTGGGTATCTTTGTATCATATTTTAATACGCAACTATGCAACGCTTCCCCGTACACTCTGATACGCAACGCTCGGTGGTACGATACACCGATATGCAACCTTAACGTGTTTCAACAAGAACGGTGGTTATTTTAGCTCTAGTTATTGTTTACTTCACAATAATTTGCTTACTTACAGTCTTATGAACAGTTTTTGTCACTAAACACTTTATATGGATCCCAAATTGGCCCTCAAATTTGTAGTATTAGGTTGTCAAATTAAAATCACATGTATTAAAAGTAACAAATCAAAATATTTATTTTAATATAAAGTGATAAACTATTAACCCTCCAGTTGACGGGCTGTGTCTGTGAGACCTGCCAAAATCATTTTTTATTGTATCTTTCCAAATATGTTGTTAAATTGATTTATCGTCTGGGTACCTTCTTATTTTTACTAAATAAGTTTTGTCGTTTAGTTATGAGAAAGGCTTTGGGCCTATTAGACCCAACCCGTGTGTTCGTTTAATTTTTTTCATCTAACTTTTTATCATAAATGATAGAAACGTTATTGTTAAATGAGTTCTATTGTGTATAAAGTGTTTTGGGACATCACCAGTCTTGTAACTACGTTTGGACAATACCGATACAAGAGAGGAGCAACAGAAATTAGACAAACTTGCTACCATACATGGGTGAATATGTGACCCTAGACGAAATGCTATTAGCATTTCCCGGAAGATGTAGCTTTAGGGTCTACATTCCAAATAAACCAAATAAATATGGGATAAAAGTGTTTTTTTTTTCAATCCAATCGAAAATCATTGCCGAATGAAATTAATATCAAGGATAGGGCTGTAAGGTCTTCAGTTTTCGCGTTCCTTTGCTGATAAGACGATAATATCGTATGTATCCAAAAAAAAACTAAGAATGTTTTAGTTGTATCATCAATTATATTAGAAATTATAATACTCTATAATAATACAAAGAGTGGTGTTGGTACCATTATTTATTTGGGGTTGGCAACCAATTTTTATTTTATGTTGGCAGTATGCTGTAAAAAAGGGTGTGTGTCGTTGACAGTTTAAGAAGGAATAAAACAAATACACAAGTAAAAGACAAATTCAAATACATAAGTTATGGTCCTTCGAGCCGAATGATTGCGATAACATTCGTGAAGAAAATCCAATCAAGTCTTGACGTAAATTTCATATCAATCGAGAAGCCGTTCATTTCGAGTGACGTCATCAGGGTCCTACACGCCCAGGCGTAGCCGCTGTTTGGACAACAAAAGAGGCAAATTCCTTTTATCATTTTTCATCCTTTCCGTACGAAAATTAGTTATTCGAAAGATCAATGGCAGAGATAACGGTTTTTATAAGAAAACGTGGCACTTTAAAATCTAAGCTGACTTCTTTTTCAAATTTTCTTAATTCAACAAGTCAAACGTTAGAAAATGCCCGAGGTGAGGAAATCAAAACATGTCTATGTGAACTTGAAGTAAGAGAAAAGAATAAGAACAGAGAAAATTGAGTCATTGCTAACTGAGTTTGAAACTATTCAATACCAAATCGAAGACATACATGAAAATTACGATGAACAATTAAAAGAGAGGGATAACTTTGAAAACAGTTTTTATAAAGCATTATCACAAGCGAAACAATTATTAGTAAGGCGTAGGAAGACTGAAGCAGCAGTTACTGTTCCTAGCATTCACACAAGCGACAATCAGTCAGTACAATCGTCACAAGTTACACCATTACTCGGACCTTCTCGGAACAATAACATAAAGAAATTCGATTACCTAAGTTTGATGGCAGATATGAACAATGGCTGGAATTTAAGGATACATTTGAGTCTTTGATACATCAAAACAACACAATTGGTCAAATTCAGAAGTTCCATTATTTACGAGCTTCAATTGAAGGTAGCGCATTACAGGTAATTCAAGCACTTGAATTTTCTACTGATAATTACATATTGGCATGGGAGTTGATCTGCCAGCGATTTGATAATAAACCTTTGCTAATTAACAACCATATAGGGGCTCTACTCAATCAATCAACAATAAATAATGAATCTCATATTCAATTACGTCAGTTGATAGATAATGTTACTAAACATTTAAGGTCATTAGCAAATCTTAAGCAACCAGTTGAGCATTAGGACACACTCATAATCTATATCGTTGTTAACAAACTTGATCAGGTAACCAGACGTGAATGGGAAGAAATTAAAAACCAAATATTTTACAAACTTTGGACGATCTCATGAACTTTTTAAGAAATAGAGTAGATCTATTAGAAACCTTGTCAGCAAAAAACGCAACATCAAAACCAAAGTCAAATCAAGTAAAATCCAAAGAGCATACATTCAACGCAGTAAACATTCATTGCATCTTCTGTAGGGGTCAACATCACATATACAATTGCAAGGAGTTTCTTCAGTTAAGACCCCGAGAAAGATCCGAAGCACCACGAAAGCAAAAGTTGTGTATAATTTGTTTAAAAATAGGACACATTGCGAACGATTGCAAGAGTGGTAATTGTAAAAAATGTAATTCAAAACATAACACTTTATTACACTATGAAACAAGTCGTCAATCTGGGGATGTGGTTTGTTCAGCGTTTGAAACCAAATCATCTCAGGTATTAATTGCAACAGCAATAATTCAAATTCCTAATCAAGCAGGCGTACCTTTTTCATGCAGAGCAATACTAGACTCGGCGTCACAATCAAATTTTGTTACAAGAAGATTATTCAAAAAATTGCAGTTACGAGGATTTAGTATAAACAAAATCATTAGCGGCATTTCACAAGCACCGATAACAATCAACAAACAGTGTTCTTTTACAATAAAGTCATGTCATAATAATTATAATACTAACATTTCAGCTCTAATTATTGATGAGATCAGTAATGATTTACCCACACAAACAATAGATAAAAATTCATTACGAATTCCATCTCATCTTAGATTGGCTGACCCACGATTTCACGAACCAGGAAAGATTGACATCCTTCTTGGAGCATCAGTGTTTTGGGAGCTATTATCAGTAGGACAAGTCAAGCTATCTGAAAATTTGACTTTGCAAAAAACTAGAATTGGATGGGTTGTAACAGGAACAACAACAACTTCAATGACAACGCCATTACAATGTCATTTCATCAAAACTGATCCAATAGCAAATCAATTGGAACGTTTTTGGAAAATCGAGGAACGTACAATGGACAAGATCATTTCAGCAGAAGATAAAAAATGTGAAGAATTGTTTCAGAAATCTATTACAAGATTCAACGATGGAAAATTCATGGTCCAAATGCCATTAAAGGAATCACCTGAGAAACTGGGTGAATCGAAATTATCAGCTTTACAGAGATTGCAAGCCTTGGAAAAACGATTCAAAGGTAATCAAAGATTTAAACAAACTTATCAAGAATTTATGACTGATTACAATGATATGAACATGTCAGAGTGTGAAGAGGATGACAATGGATCTCTCTCAATGGATTCTTTTTATCTACCACATCATGGAGTGTTTAATCAAAACAATCAAACTACCAAGTTGCGTGTAGTGTTCGATGGCTCAGCAAAATCTGATTCCGGCTGGTCATTAAATGAACTACAATACATTGGTCCAACAATTCAAGATGAATTGTTCTCAATAGTTGTTCGTTTTAGATTCTATAGATATGCGGTATGTGCAGACATAAAAAAGATGTACCGGCAGATCTGGATTGAACGTTCACAAAGGAATTTGCAGAAGATTTTGTGGAGAAATGAATCTGATGAACCAATCAAAACATACAAACTAAATACCGTTACTTATGGCACAACGAGTGCACCATTTCTGGCTGTTAGATGTTTGAAACAATTATCAACCGAGACCAAGAAAGAACATCCAGAGGCATCAAGAGTAATAGCATCCGACTTCTACGTGGATGATTTGATCACAGGTGGAGATTCAATAAGAGAAACATCAAAGGTAATAAAGGAAATTATTTCGATATTGAGTTCAGCAAAGTTCGAGTTACACAAATGGATTTCTAACAGTGAGCATCTCTTGAATGAAATTCTTGTTGAGCCAAACAGAAATGATGCTGTCGAAATTAGTGATGGAGAATCATCAAAAACATTAGGGTTATATTGGTTTTGCAAATCAGATTACTTGTTTTTTAAAATTGGAGAATTACAACAACAAACAATCACGGAGAGATCGATTTTATTAGATATTGCCCAGATCTTTGATCCATTGGGATTGTTGAGTCCTTGTGTTATTATTTCAAAAATGATTTTGCAGAGATTATGGCAAGAAAAGTTGTCTTGGGACGAATCACTTCCATTAGAGATATACTCAAAATGGGATACATTTAGAAGTCAGTTGTCAATATTAAACACGGCAACTATTCAAAGATCTCAAGGTAAAATAAAGACAGTAGAATTACATGGCGTTGCAGATGCATCTCAGGAAGCATACGGAGCATGTATATACGTTCGAAGTGTCAACACATATGGTCAAATTTGCGTCCATCTACTTTGCGCTAAAACAAGGGTGGCACCAATAAAACCATTGACAACACTACTATTGGAATTATGCGGGTGTCTCATTCTAGCTCAATTAATGAATAAAATAATATCATCATTAAGAATTGATATAGAAACCTGTTATCTTTGGTCGGATTCATCTGTTGCATTACATTGGATAAAAACACCGGCTAATCTTTTGCAGACATTTGTGGGAAATAGAGTGTTACAAATACAAGAGCTTACTCAACCAAATGATTGGTATCATGTAAACACTAAAGAAAATCCAGCAGATTTATTATCAAGAGGAGTTAACCCTAAAGATTTAATTAACAACTCATTATGGTGGCACGGACCTGATTGGTTGATGAACGATAAAAGAAGCTGGCCGCAGTCAAAAATTAAGTTTGAAGGTAAACTTCCAGAGTTAAAATCAAATGTTTCAGTTTTAATAAGTCAAATTAAAACTAATGTGATAGAATTTCAAAGATTTTCCAATTACAACCGTTTGCAGCGTTCAGTCGCTTACTGTTTGAGATTTATTACAAATTGTCAAATGGAAAAACAAAACCGAGAGTTTGGTTCTTTAACACCAATGGAAATATCTAAGGTTACGGAAGTAATCTTAAAATTGAGTCAAATCGATTGTTTTTCTGAAGAAATTAAACAACTACAAGTAGGAAACAGTATTCGCAAGGGATCTTTACAACATTTAAACCCATTTATAGATGAGAATGGATTAATACGTGTAGGGGGAAGACTAACAAATTCTAAGTTCGATTACGAGAAAAGGCATCCAATTGTTATGTCAAGTAAACACCCAGCTGTAGTTTTGATTTTTAGATATTATCATATTAAATTCATGCACATAGGATCTCAACAGTTGTTGCCATTAATAAGAGATCAATATTGGCCTATATCAGGTAGAAATTTGGCACGCATAACAACAAAGAAATGCGTTACATGTTTTAAGACTAAACCTATTAACAGCATATTTCCGATAATGGGTTCTTTACCGGAGCAAAGAGTAACGGCGACTTTTCCATTTAATTCTGCAGGAATAGACTATACAGGTGCATTCACCATAAAGGATAGAAAAGGCAGAGGTAGTAAAACATCAAAATGTTACATATGTCTCTTTATTTGCTTATCTACCAAGTCGATTCATTTGGAACTTGTTACTGATTTGAGTACTGATTCATTTTTGCTGGCATTGAGAAGATTTGTGGCACGAAGAGGAAAACCTAGCCATATTTTTTCTGATAATGGAACAAATTTTGTTGGTGCAAATAAGGAATTGCAGCAGTTAGCAACAATGCTCAATGATAATACTCACAACGATTGCTGATAAATTACACAACGATGGTATAGTTTGGCATTTTATACCAACATATGCACCACATTTTGGAGGGTTGTGGGAAGCGGGCGTCAAATCAACCAAATACCATTTAAAAAGAGTATTGAATCTGAGGTTGTTGACGTTTGAGCAATTTTATACCGTGATTGTGCAGATCGAGGCCATTTTAAACTCGCGTCCTCTTGCACCAATGTCGTGTGATCCTAATGATTTCACAGCTTTGACTCCATCCCATTTCCTAATCGGACGTCCTCTTCTTTCCTTACCAGACCTGAATTTAATTCATATCACAGAAAACCGCCTAAGTAACTTCCAATGTCTACAACAAGTCCAACAACATTTTTGGAGAAGATGGGCCAAGGAATACATCTCCGAATTGCAACAACGACAGAAATGGAAAGTGAATTATGGATCTTTGAAATTGGGGGATTTGGTGATATTGAAGGAAGATAACTTACCACAATTGTTATGGAAACTTGGTCGTATATCTCAGCTTTTCCCTGGAAAGGACGGAATTCCACGAGTTGCGTTGATTCGCACCTCAACGGATGAGAGAAAGCGTGATTTTACAAGAATATGTCCATCGCCTATTGAAACTGAAAAGTGAAAGTGATTAAACAAAAAACTTTAGTTCAGTATACTTACCATTTGTAATGTAGTGCCTTTTGTATTGTCACTGTTTTGTTTTCTTTTCTTATTTTATTTAAAGGAGAACCTTTCAACGGAGGGGGCATGTTGGTACCATTATTTATTTGGGGTTGGCAACCAATTTTTATTTTATATTGCCAGTATGTTGTAAAAAAGGGTGTGTGTCGTTGACAGTTTAAGAAGGAATAAAAACGTAAAACAGTTTTGTTGTTCGTGTTTATAAAACAAATACACAAGTAAAAGACAAATTCAAACACAAGTTATAAACACGAACAACAAAACTGTTTTACATTTTCATTCCTTCTTAAACTGTCAATGACACACACCCTTTTTTACAACATACTGCCAACATAAAATAAAAATTGGTTGCCAACCCCAAACAAATAATGGTACCAACAAGTGGTGTTGATGTAGTTGATAGAATGCTTACAACGATCTTACAACGTTGTTCGAAACACAAGGCGGTGGCCATTGGTGGTTTTCTGCGACAAACTGAATGTAGCAGCAATGAATGATGAATGAGTTGTCATAATAAATAAATATAATAATCCTGAACTGGAATACTAAGAGGACTAGCGGCTAAATTATCAGGAATACCAACTTTACAACAAACTGGTCAAACGGTTTCGACTGGTCAACAAAGGTGCAAATACTGCAAAGACCGAAAATCGAAGTATTTTTGCATGTTTTGTGGTATTTGCATCTGTTTGGAGCATACGTTTAGGCAAATGTTTTTGTTATATTGTGTTCAAATTTGTTTATTTACAATTTTGTATGTAAAGTACGTTAAATGTAATATTTTTTCTAATAAATAATTACTCTTTGGGCAATTGATTTTTGATAACTATTTCTACTTTCAGCAGTACAAAATAAAATGGACTAACAGTAGAATACAAATATAGTATTTTATTGTGTTATTGTAGGAGGAATAAGCATCAAACTTTGGGTCTGAGAAACCCAGCCGGTCGAACGGTGTGATTTTTAAACCACCCGTCAACTGCAGGGTTAAACGTCTTGTCTTTTAACTTAAATATTTAACACTCCTTTTTAAACGCTTTTTAATACATCATTTATTTTATAAGAAAATAGTTCGATTACTCACTACGTCTTCACTCGTACCCTTTCGGTGTAAAAAGTCAAGACCCCTCAGTTTAGAGATCGATATCTACGCAACCGCTCGATAAAAAAAATTGCGACAAAGTTTGTTGTAATCACTGAACATTTCTACGTAACATATGTTAATTTGAAAATTTTCGGATTCGCGGTTTTCTTCTTATCGCGAGTTAAATGAAAAAAGTACCCGATTTTTTGTTGACAACTTTGTCAACTTTGCAATTCTTTTTCTCGAAAACTATCCTACAAAAAATTTGAATTTTGAACAAGTAGTAGCCTGATGTGTTCTTAATGAATCGCATATTTTATTTTTTCCATATTCCTACAGTTTCGGGGAAAATCGCGGTTTAGTAAGACTCCGTTATGTCGAAAACGGCTGGTTGGATTTCCTCGCATATTTGACCAAAATATGTCAAATAATTGCGTTATACCTCTTTAATTTTTTTAGATCGATTTAAGCGAATTATAAATTAAAACGAAACAGAAATAAGCTCTACGGGGAGAGGGGGTTCCGTCCATTCGGAAAAGATGGTGCGTTCCAGACAGTACGTCGCGCCTTTATCTTTCCTACATAAAGAAATAAGGCTAGACGGCGCTAGTCTTTGGAACACACACCAAGACTATCTTTTCAGATTGGTCGAAACCCTCCTCTCCCCGCATGACTTATTTCTGTTCCTTTTTAATTTATAATTCGCTTAAATCGCTCTAAAAAAATTAGAGAAGCATAACTTTGAAAAACTGATAACATAACAGTATCTGACAAACGCAATTATTTGACACATTTTGGTTAAAACCGCGTTGAAATCCACCCAGCCATTTTCGATCCAACTAAATCGAGATTTTCCGCGAAACTATATGGAATATCGCAATAATAAAATATTAAGAACACATTAGACTACCACCTGTTCAAAATTGAAATATTTTCGTACTATGGTTTTCGAGTAAAAAAATCGCAAAGTTGACAAAGTTGCCGGTACCGTAAGAAATCGGGTGCTTTTTTCATTTAACTCCCGATAAACAGGAAAACGCGGATCCGAAAATTTTCAAATTAGCATGTTACGTAGAAATGTTCAGTGATTACAACAAACTTTGTCGCAATTTTTTTTATCGAGCGGTTACGAAGATATCGATCTCTAAAGCGAGGGGCCTTGACTTTTTACACCGATAGTAGTATCTCTCTACTGTCTTCTGTGTGAATCGCCTTCTCTTACATTCCCACATATATTGTTATTACTATTACCATTAATTCGGAGGTGGCCAATGACGATATTTTATATACATGCACATTTTGTGCATTGTATAATAATGAAAAAAATTATCGGGGTATCACTTTATCACTTATTTAATAAAATTTACCTTTCTCAACTTCATAAAAGAATTGAGATCAAATGAAGCCACGTTAACTTCACACTTTAATTCCAAGAAATGTTTAAATTGTATGTTTAAATTCCGTTGACATACGTATAATTTTGCGTTATACATTAAAACGTTATTTTGTCTGTATAATATGGGTAGTTATAACATTTTAAAAGTTTTTTACTGAATCATTTTATTGTGTGGTAAATGTGGTACATTTATAATTAAATATCTGCCATTTGCTTAACATCTTCCCCAGTAGGCCTTATTATAAGTTCGGAAATCTAGAAATTAAAACAAGGAAATAATAAGAGTTCATTAATTTAAATGAAATGCTTACATTGACACGTTGAGGTGTGGATAACACATAAACAATAGTGTCTGCAACATCTTCACTTGTAATATGTGGATATTTGGAGTAAAAAGATTCACTTGCCTGCTCGCCATAATTTACAGACATCATTTCAGTTTTTACAAGACCCGGACATATAGACTATAATTTAACGAACATACTTAAGTAAATATACTGGTTATTTAAAAATTGTGTTCGAATGTTTTACCCACTTAAAGTTCTCATAAAGATAAACAAAAAAGTCTTAGTAAACTTAGGTCCTAAAATCAATTGTTTCAGAGATATAGTTGATTTTACGTTGCTTTTCAATAATGTTTATATCTAGTCGTTTAGTCGTGTTACCCATGCAAAACTAAACACATTTTGTCTTTAGTTATTGTCAATCTCACGTCACTTTCGCTGGTGTAGTGGGTGCTTTTATTTCATGTAAGCATGAATGAATACACAAATGCAGAAATGGCAGACATGCACTTTATGTACGGTGCTGCTAATAGTAACGCTTAAGCACGTCGCCGTTACTCGGAAACTTACCCTTACCGTAACGTACCCAGTGATACATTTTTCACAAAATTGCATCAACGTTTATCGGAAGTGAGTTGTTGATCTGTGAGTACTCCTGCAGTAGAAGAGCAAGTTTTGAGAAGGGTTGAAGAAAATCCAGGTACGAGTGTAAGAAGGATCTCTGTTGCAGTAAATATTAATGGACTTTTTTGTTTATCTATAAGTGGGCAAAATATCCGAATACAATTTATAAACACCCGGTATAAACGAATTAAAAAAAAATGAAATTACACTTATCCTAATTTTGCTATTCATCCTAGCTAATTCAACTCGAATATTCTCTGTCATAGCTCTTAACGCGAGCTTAGAAGATCGATACATAACATTACCAGGTATAAACAGATCATAATAACCTACGACACTATTAATATTGATAATGTAGCCCTCCATTTTATTGTCCTTCATAATTTTAACAGCTTCTTTAGAGGCTATTGCATAACTCATTAAATTAGTGTCCATGATTTGTTGCCAAGCTTCTAATTCTCCCGTTAAAACTGACGAGGCAATAGATACACCGGCGTTATTAATTAGAATGTGTACGGGACCAATATTTTTGGTAACCCAAGCGAATCCGTCGATAATATCTTGGGGTTTTGTTAAATCGACGCATCGGGCAAATAATTTTCCGTTATGATTGTCAACTAAGTTTTCAATTTTTTCTTGCCTTCTTGCAAAACCAACCACCTAAAAATATTTAAATATAGTTATTAAGTTTTAAAAAATACTATATAAGTTAATATTATATGAAATAAACGTATACTAACGTAAATATACGTATACGTATAATAACATTAGGACATAATTCGTAAAAACAGTATTTATTAAATTAATCTGACCTTCATGCCTTGTTTTAACAAGGCTTTGACTGTAGCAGCTCCAATGCCAGCGCTAGCACCTGTTACAATCGCCACTTTATCTTTTAAATCCATTATAAACACACTATTTTTCGAAAATAATTTCAAAAATCTTGTATAAGTATGGAATAAATTGTTTTAAGTTATCGATTTGAGTTTACAAAGCAAAGCACTTTTTTTTATATATTTAGGTTTATATATAGGTACGTGACAGGAGTGTGGGAAGTGATAAGTGCTACATGATTACGCTAAATTGATAATTGCGATGCAATCTTGCTTCGTCATCTGTCTTGACCACGCATAAAAAATTGTTTGGCAAAAGAGAGAAAGAAAACATAGCATTATAAGTGTTGTGTATCTTATTTTAAATTTGAAATATGATGAAATAAAGGATTTATTTTTAACGTCAAATTATTTAATACAACTGTGGTCTCGTTTGACCAATTCTTATAAAATAATAAAATTATAAGGTAATTTTATAAATAACATTTTTTATTGACTTTTTTGTCTTATTATTTATTTATATTCAACTTTTTTATTTATGTTTTTGAATAATAATTAGTTGGCGTGCCATAGCAAGCTGCACTTACTTCTCCTAGGAGAAAACAAGCAAATTCTGTTTTCGGACACTCACTGGATATGGCCTATATTTCCTTATTACAAATCGTAAAGAAAAGTACCTCATTTCTTTATAGCAACCATTTCTTTATAGCAACCAAATAAACAATTAATTATTTATTAGAATAAATATTAAATGTACAGTTATTAAGGTTAGAGAAGCTTATACTTGATGTACAGGGTGTCCCACGATGAACTGCGTCGATCGATATAGGAGAAACTATGAGTAGTATCTTTCTGAAAATTTGTAGGCGTACTTAAGTCGATATGCCCAACTCACCTAAAATATTTTCAAGACTGTCGCACTTCCGGTTATACCGGAAGTAGACAACAACTTCGTTATTTTAAATGGAACCACCTATATATTATTACATATTTAGATTCTACATCCGATTTTAATTAACTTTTACTTAAACATCTTATATAAAATTCTTACCCGTTTCTGAAATATTTACAAATTTATGTAAAAAAATTACCTATGCAGGCTTGTATGTTATGTGTATTTCTGCTAACACTGTTAAGTATTTGTTATATCTGATGAAAGGAATTTGAAGAAGAGACTATAGCTTAACTTTTGGTAGCTCATATGTTGTCCTACTACATACAGGGTGTTCAAAAAAAGCTGCCAAATATTTATATAAGAAAAAGCGAAAAACTCAAAAAAATTAAATGGAAACCATATATTTTTTTAATTGTATCTGAATCTACATTAAAAATAAAGGTAACTTTATGTAAGGTTCCCTATATCTAACTATCGCCGTTTCTTTGTAATTTTCGTTTTAAATAGTTTAAGATTATTCAAAACAATTTTGTGTCAAAGACGGCCATGACTACCGAGAAACAAATGAAGGTAACACAAATGTCATTATATCATTTATAAAATTCACTATGCCCGCACGTTTAAATTATACTAATGAAGATTATCTAAATCTATTTATTATTTATGGAGAATGTAACAAAGTTTTAACAAGAACATGCGATACATTTGCTGCTCGATATCCGCGAAAACGGAAACCATCCCCGAATACCTTAAAACAAATAATTCATAACTTCAACATTTTAAACAATCTCCCGAGAAACAAATGAAAGTATGACAAATTATGTATTAAGTAATTTGTATTTAACGTACTAAGTATGAGAAAACTAACTCTACTTTAATAAATGTTCAAAATTTTTCCCTTGAACTTCTAAACATTTTTCGCATCGCAAGATGACTTGTTGATGGGTAGCCTTTCTCAAAAAATCTGGATTTAAGTTATTGAACGCATTTCGCACTCTTTCCATACAATTTTCCTGAGTGGTCAATGTCGTGCTATAAACTTGATTTTTGATAGTACCCCATATAAAGTAATCTAAAACCGACAAATCAGGTGATCTAGGTGGCCACAAGAAAGGTCCATTATTAGCAATCCATTGGCCATTAAATATATTTTCGAGGAAATTGCTAACTAAATAGCCGTTGTGCGGAGGCGCTCCATCGTGTTGGTAAAAAATTTGTGTTAATTCAACCAGAGGTAAATTTTCTAAATAATTAGTATCAAAATTTCGTAAAATGTTTAAATATCTTTCGCCTAGAAAAAAATTAATTGCAGCAATTAAAATTAATTGTAAATTATTCGTTATACCAATTATTTCTTAATTATTTACCATTTAGATTTTCCTCATAAAAATGCAACGCTACTACTCTATCGTTTCTTATAGCGCAGTAGACATTGAATTGCCAGCTTCCTTGAAAATTACTCGTCGTAAATTTGTGAGGATTAGAATCACTCCAATAATGCGAATTATGTCTATTAAACAAACCATTTTTGGTAAATTTTGCCTCGTCAGACCAAATAATATTGTCCAAAAATTGATTATTTCCATAGTGTTCAGTTAAAATAAATTCACAAAAATTCACTCTTCTTGCGAAGTCAGTATCTCTTAAATGTTGCACTATGGAAATTGAATACGGATGATACTTATGTTTTTTCAAAATTCTGTGGATTGAGCTTTTGGAAAGTCCAGATTCTTTTGAAACTTGTCTGAGAGATATTGTCGGATATGCATTGAAATATCCTAAAACAGCGATTTCCACATTTTCATTATCTACAATAGGCTTCTTTTTGAGAACTTTTCCTTTTACGGAACCATGTGTCTTGAAGTTATAAATTATTTGTTTCAAGGTATTCGGGGATGGTTTCCGTTTTTGCGGATATCGAGCAGCAAATGTATCGCATGTTCTTGTTAAAACTTTGTTACATTCTCCATAGATAATAAATAGATTTAGATAATCTTCATTAGTATAATTTAAACGTGCGGGCATAGTGAATTTTATAAATGATATAATGACATTTGTGTTACCTTCATTTGTTTCTCGGTAGTCATGGCCGTCTTTGACACAAAATTGTTTTGAATAATCTTAAACTATTTAAAACGAAAATTACAAAGAAACGGCGATAGTTAGATATAGGGAACCTTACATAAAGTTACCTTTATTTTTAATGTAGATTCAGATACAATTAAAAAAATATATGGTTTCCATTTAATTTTTTTGAGTTTTTCGCTTTTTCTTATATAAATATTTGGCAGCTTTTTTTGAACACCCTGTATGTAGTAGGACAACATATGAGCTACCAAAAGTTAAGCTATAGTCTCTTCTTCAAATTCCTTTCATCAGATATAACAAATACTTAACAGTGTTAGCAGAAATACACATAACATACAAGCCTGCATAGGTAATTTTTTTACATAAATTTGTAAATATTTCAGAAACGGGTAAGAATTTTATATAAGATGTTTAAGTAAAAGTTAATTAAAATCGGACGTAGAATCTAAATATGTAATAATATATAGGTGGTTCCATTTAAAATAACGAAGTTGTTGTCTACTTCCGGTATAACCGGAAGTGCGACAATCTTGAAAATATTTTAGGTGAGTTGGGCATATCGACATAAGTGCACCTACAAATTTTCAGAAAGATACTACTCATAGTTTCTCCTATATCGATCGACGCAGTTCGTCGTGGGACATCCACAACACTTAATCAAGTGGAATTAAAAACGTGTCGACCCCCATCACATGCATTAAGTTGTATTAATCCAATTTGAAAAGATTTTGCTGTACACTGTTGTAACTGTAAATCACCACATGTTAGTGACGATTTTGATAACACCTCCTGATGAACTCCTGATGAATCACTACTTTATTTTTTTTGTTTGGTTGCTGTAGTGAGGAAAACGGCAGAAATGACAATTTGATTCTCGAGCTCGTCGTGTACTTTTTAAATAATTTCTTATAAAATGTAGGTAATTCATTTAAATTGAGAGTCCGAAAAAACTTCATGTATTATTCTTAAAGAAAAGTAACTTCTTCTTTACTCATCGCGTTTCTAAAGAAAAAAGTATACTTTCTTGACTTATAATACAAATAACTATTTATTAACTTGTTTTATAATTCTTTGTGTATAAAAGGTTTTTGGCTGGTATGTATGGTTGACTGAACTGGTTTAATGTCAGCAAAAGATGATTTTAATCTTGATAGTAATGGCTCAGTTTCAATTGATGCTACGGTACGTATGGAAAATTCTCCCGGTAATCTGAATTTTCAGAGATGATCTGAGACCAAGTAGTATTAAAGGTAAGTTATGGTTCCACTTACAAGGGAAATATCGGAGCTGTCCCTCACCGATTTTGTTGCAATTTGGTACAATTTGTTGCAGAATACGAAGAAAAAGTGAGGTTATATCGTAAGATTTTGTTCTTTTTTCCTTTCTTTTCTTACTGTATCGTTATGACTCCGAGGGACGTGAAGGAAAAACAGAAACACGAAAGCATACTTAGACAATTTAAGGTAAAATTATCGATTTTCAATGACTTCTTGAACGCGTACGAGCCTGGGCAGCTCGATGTTTTAAAAACGACTATACAAGTATGCGAGCCATATCTACGCGAAGCGGAGGAGTGTTTCGTCGCGTTAGAATGTCTAGACAACAGCGAAGAAAAAACGATTATTGATAAAGAAATAGTAGAATTTACGAAATTATACAAGTCAATCATCGCGAAAGCTCGTTCTTTTTTACCGCAAGATACGTCGACTCCGGTATCGCACTTTATAAATCAACCACCTAGCGTTGAGGCTTTGTAACGGTTCCGTTTGAGGTTATTGAATTTCTTAGATTTCGTTCTTTAAATCGTTATTTTTCGTATTCATATTCAATAATTAATAATAAATGAATAAATTATGAACCACTGTTTAAATACAACTTACTTAATCTCTTGCGACCTGTAAATAACCTATTGAAGTATTTGTTAAATAAATTAATAATTACATAAATTTTATTATAAATTAATATTAACGATTTTTCGCTGCTTAACCTCTCCTTTATTTGACAATGTTTAACATATAACCTCCATTACTAACCTAACATACATTTAAATGTATGTGGTGAAATAATCTAAGTCGTACGTCCATATCTTGATTCATACCATTTTTAAACGTCAAGTCACTGCTAGCTCTCGTGGTTTGTACTATATCTTTCGATATAATAAGTCCATCATCTACGTATATAGCTAATAAAATTGTAGCATCCTTATTTTTAAATACACACTGTTCCGTTTTCAGCTGTTTCAATCCGATACTTTCTAAAGCATCTGTAAATGTCGTGCTCCATCTTTCGGGTGCCTGCCTTAATCCATATAGCGCCTTTCTCAATTTACAGACTTGTCCTTTTAAATTCTTATATTTCTGTGGTATCTTCATGTAGATTTCTTCTTTCTGTTTACCATACGAAAAAACCGTTTTTATATCATTTTGTTATTTTACAC